CTGCCGGGGCTCAGGCGGTCGCCTCCCCTGCCACCGCCCCCGGGTCTCCGTTTTCTTTCCTTCACCTTTTGTCTTGCTTTCCCCCTTTTATTTCTTCGAGGCTGGGCTTGCTGTGTGACCCCCTTCCTCCGCCCCAGCCGGCAGGGTCAGGCCCCGGACCCGGGGAGGATTGTTTTGGGGGCGTCCCTAGATTTTGTTGGTAGCGGAGGGAGTAATTCTGTGCTTGTGCCCCTAAGGGTGCGCGGCCGCAGGCGGGAGCCCGCTGAGCAATTGTAAGCCAGAGGCAGAGACCAGCCCTCGGCTGACATTGAACTGCCTGAAACCTCCCCGTGGGGTGCGAGTGGGGACTCCCGGGGGCCACCGCACCTCGTACCGCTGGGGAAGGCCCGCCGGCGGGGAGAGGCGTGTGCTTGCCACCTTGCCCTTGCTCAGCTCCTAGCCTGGCCCCGCAGGACCGCGGGGTGAGGGTGTGCTGTCCTTGGCCTGGCTAGACATTTAGGGAGGCTGGGTGGCTGCCCTGGCTTCCACTGGGTCATCTGGTGTTGTAGTAGCCCCTGGTGTGGTGCAGTTGGTAATGCAGGGTGCGGGGACGCAGGTGTGGATTCATTGTGTATTCACAAGGACTCTTGTCCCCTGTTGTTAAGCCAGGATTAACTGTTTTCCACTTTCTGTATTAAATGGAAGGAATATGGCTATTTAAGGTCCAAAGCTGATGGATTTGGCAATTTATGGCTCAGGTGCTGAGCTGTTGGGTATTAAGCACAATATGCATTTGATCTGCATGTGTCTAAAGGCCCTTGGAGTCCTTGAGGACACCCTGATGAGGACTTGGTATTAACCACTGTCTCTGCATACACAGAATTAATGTCTGCCCTCCAGGGGAGCTGTGTACAACGGGGCAGGGGCCAGGCAGGAGCTTCGCGCTCTGTCTCCAGCGTGCAGCACAGCTGAGCCAAGGTTTGCAGTATTTGCAGTGGTAAAGGCCAGTCACGAAAGACCATATTTTCCTGAAACAGCGAGGGAGCTATGTTTCAGCCAGTGCAGTGGGAAGCCTGAAGAAGCAATACAAAGTTTGGAAGGTAAATATGGATTCAAATTAAGTACAGGAATATTGCTTTATACGTTGCAGTACAATGAGGAGGAAGCGAGAGTATTTTTTTTTCGTTGTCAGGTAAAATAGTTGCTGAAAATGAAAGAACAGAGAACCAGTTTGAGTGATTGAATTGGAGCTTGTCCTTGGGCTTCATTAGTAAAATGGAAATATAAAGGATGTGTTGGTAGACTACCAGTTATGTGTTGTAGCCTGTTAATGTCATTTCTGAAGAATAGCTTGGTTTTAAAATCTGGTTTAATCTACAGCAGGATGCAGTATTTATAACCTGTTACCGCAAGTTTTACTGCCACAAGTTTCTTTGCTTTTGTGGGGGAAGTTTTATTTGTTTATTAAAAGCACATGAATGTCAGAGGAACTTATGGATATATGGGGACAGAGATAAGCTGTTGAAGAGTGAGTCAGCCCCTATCAAATAGAGTTAGTTCTCTAAACGCTGCTGATAGTCAGTTGCCTTTGCTAGGGCCTTGTGACTCTGGACTTACAGCCAGGATATGCTGTTAGGAGGTGGTGTGAGTATGATCTGTGCAGCAGGTGTGCAGATGTGCAACCCTATGTGGCCACTTAGCATTGAAACCTTTTTGTAAGACGCATGAAATCGTCTTCTGCTTACACTAAAGCTGTTAAATAGTATTTGCTAAACAATTATGTTTCTGTGATGACAATTGCCTTGTCCCATTATATCTTAAGGGAACTGTTTAAAGAGGTTTATGACCTCAGATTTTTGTTCTTTGCCAGCGTCTCAGTTTTTTCCCAGTAGGTATTTCTGTCACCTCACTTAAAGCGTGGTCAGTTAAATAATAGTTTCGGTGTTTGGGATAACTATGAGAGAGGGGAGATGGGGCTTGGGATCACCCTGAAACAGATCTATTACTGCTGGAAGAAAAGTTCGCTCCTCCTCTGGGCTGCTTGCGCCCACCTCTTCTTACCTTTCTTCTCCCACTGGAGCGATCCACAGCTCATTTCAACCAAACACGAAATTACTGACAAGCAGTTCTTGTTTTGAAATTAGTTCAGCTGACCTAACTAGCTAGCCGTGGCTTTAAGGGGCAGTCCCACCTTTAGTCCCTGCCTTTATGCTCCTGTTGCTTTGGATTCATCCTACGTAGCAGTTTTGTGGCCTCGGAGTGAGTTAATATTCTCTGTTGGATCAGCTGTTTTTCAGGGCAGGTTTTCTGGTGGATCAGCCATCTGAACCATCACGGTATGACTATAAGGTCTGACACAGAGGGAGGCAGGGACCTGCAGCTGGAGGTGGGAGAGGGGAGGAGGGTGTAGGGTTGCACTTTCCCTAACCTCTGCAACCTCAGAGAGGAGGTAGGAAACTCATGTTGGGTGGGAATGATTATGGGGTTTGCTGATTAATTGCCCAACCAGTTATCTGATTCCGGGCTGGGGGGCAGGGGAGGAGGTGGAACATGCCAAACGAGATTAGCAAGTCAGTTCACTTTTAGGGGAGGAAGGTGTCAAGCTGAACCAGGACACTGTGGAAAAATGAAAGGTATGACAAAGATGTGTTAGGATAAAGGAGCAGACCCTTGATCTTTTGGTGGGATATTCTGTTATGTGAAGAGGTGGTAGTTTTCCTCCATTCCTGGGGAAAAAGCCTATGTGGATAGTGAAGCTTTCAAGTTGCCAGCTTTGACACAGCAGATACTGTTTGCTGTTGTCATTCAGCTGGCTGAGGAGGAGTAGTTTTGATTAGTAAGATGGGGCAATAAAGATGAGAGGGGAGAGGCTCACACCTTTGCCTGCCCTGTGGCAGCCTCTAAAATTCCGAGGTTAAGATGAACCCTTGGTCTTGGCAGGTGTGTTTTCTTCAAAGGAGATTTTGCTTTAGCTCACCTCCTGTTGTTTACCAGGAGAGCTAGTCCTGATTCCTACCAGCTTCCCATCAGGAGCATGGCAGTGGCTGGTGCTGGCATTAAGCCCACTAGCTGGGCTACCGGGAGCATAGGGGTTATGTTGCAGACCCTGGTGTGTTATTTGGCATCCTGCTGGGGTGGCTCTGCTGTTAGCACCCAGGGAGGCTCGGCTTGCATGCCTGAGTTGTAGTCACACCTTTTGCCTACAGTGTCTTTTGTCATCTTTTTGTCATCAGTTGGCTCAAGACTTGCTGGGAAATAACAGTGCAGCTAGTTCCTCTTGCAGCACCTGTAATAAAGGGTACTGTGCATCTTTTTCTGTTGAGGGGCTTCAGACCAAATTTGAAGAAACAGGAGGAACTCTGCAAGATTTTAAACCAAACTGAATTGATGCTGCCACAGTCTCACTCTTCCCTGAATGCCACATACGCACGTGAGCCTGCCTTCTCCCTTGTGTTGGATGAGCTGGTGCAGGGAGCTCAAGTGGTGAAAAAACTTTTTTTTTTTTCTTTTCCAAGTTTTCTGATGATGTGGTGCTTTGTGCAGTACTGATACTGGGATGGAGAAATCAGGGTGGAAGAGGGACTGGTGGCAGCATTGTTCAGCAGCACCCACTCTCAAGCTAGAGGAGTCTCTATTCTGGGCTGAAAACACTACAGTCATTTTTGAACAAATTTCAATCTCATGAGTGTTTCTGATGTGTTAAAATAGATCTTTGTAAGGTGGGGAATTGCCTATTTGTAGTCTTTCTGGGACAAAAGCAGAGTGTTTTGATGTCAGCTTGCTTTGGATCATGTTTTAAGTGCATCTTTCCCCTGTGTCCCCTCTTCTTTATACTGTGTTGACTTCTCAAAATAGATTATACGTGATAAAATTCAGAAAAGGCTGCAATTTATATTGGCTTAGAGGTCTCCGTTACATTTTTGATGTCTAGAAGGTTAGTTATGGTAATTACTTGTCTCTGAAATAGATAATTGCTTATTCAATTCTTGTGATTAGAAAATATTACAATAACTCAATAAGAATATTTACTTAGCAGCTTCTCTTGTTTGAAGATCAGCAATTAACAAAGGCAGAGTGAAGAATTTGCCACGTCGTGACTGAAGGAATAAGAAAAAAACTTACAGGGAGATCAACTCAGCAGCATATCTTCCAAGTTTGCTAACAGCCTACCATTGCACGGCTTTGGAAGGATCTTTGTTACGCTTTCTGAAGAGCAGATAACGTTGTCACAAGTACATAATTGTGTCGCCTAAAATTTGATACCTGCTGTAGAGTAGATGGCTCAGCTTCCTCCTGGAATTCGCTTCATCACTTCATTTTCACGAGATCAGTGGTAAGTCTTGAAGTATGGTGGTGATCTTTGTTTTGGACAATGTGAGTTTGTATGTGGGGAAGGTGATGCTGTTGCTTTGCTCTATTGTTGCTTTTTCATTGCTTAATATATACAGCAAGAAAATATAGTCAGTTGTATAATAAATAAATATTGCTGACATTTAAAAAGTGAGATACTTTGTTGGGGGAACCCAGACAGATCCTTACTAGTAAAGTGTGCCAGAGAATAAAGCCTTTTGTCCTTTTCTTTGCAAGGTATGTATTTGGAGGGATAAATTTCAGATTTTTATTTTCAAACTCTTGGGTGGAGGGGTGCTTGAGGTTAGCTTTCCTTTCTTAACCAGAAATGTATTTTCTCCCCCATAATTTGATGTGTAATACAGACTTGCAGAATTACAGTTTTAGTTCTTGCTACTGTAATATTTAAAAAACACCAAACAAACAAAAAAGCAAAACAAAACCAAAACCTCTTTCCTTTAGGAAAACTAATCCTGGAAGCTGGATGTCATCAGTTTTTGTGCTTTCTGAGATAGAA